ACCTGCATCAAGAAGCTTCACAACTTCTTTTCTGACTACCTCCTTCATGATCGGGTTAAGCCTTCTTTGCGGTTGTCTCACAGGTTTGATGTTTTCTGCCATAAGAATTTTGTGTGTGCAAATAGAGGGACTAATACCCTTTAAATCAGAAATAGACCACCCTATGGCAGTCTTATGAGCTTTTAGAACTTCAACAAGCTCCTCTTCTTGACCAGGAGATAGTGCTGTATTGACAATTACAGGATAAGTCTCTTCATTCCCCAAGAATACATATTTCAAAGTATCAAGCAGAGTTTTCAACTCAACCTTGGGTGGCTTATCTTCTATATCATCATCTTTTTCTTTAAGCTCTTCCACAACAACTTCTTTGCCTTCAAAGGGAACATGATCACGGGCTCTCAACTCATAATCAATCTCTTGTGGACGCATCTTCTTATGTTTCTCTTGAAACACTTCAACTTGAAAACAATCATCATTCTCAGCTGGTCTTTTCATTGCCTCAAAAACATTGTAATTGAGTTCCTCATCATGCATCCTTAATTTAATCATTCCCTGCTCAACATCAATTAGAGCACGGGCTGTAGCCAAAAAGGGCCTACCTAAAAGCAGAGACTTATCACTTCCTTCCCCTGTATCCAACACCACAAAATCAACAGGAAAGATAAACTTGTCAACTTTGACAAGAACATCTTCAATGATCCCGTTAGGTTTCCTCACAGATCTATCAGCAAGTTGAAGAGAAACTTCTGTGGGTTTCAATTCTTCAATTCCCAGTGACTTATAAATAGAAAGAGGCATCAAGTTGATACTAGCCCCAAGATCACAAATAGCTCTGCCAATGGCAATATCATCAATAGTAATGAGAATATTAAAACTACCTGGATCACGAAGCTTAGCTGGAATCTTCTGCTGAATGAATGCACTACTTTTTGCAGTAAGTTCAACGGTTTGGCATTCTTGCAGTTTATTCTTCTTCAACAGATCCTTCATGAATTTTGCATATCCCGGCATATTTGCTAAGGCTTCTGCAAAAGGAATATTGATGTGCAACTTCTTGAAGATGTCTAAGAACCTGTCATAATGCTTGTTAGTAACCTCTTTCTTGAACCTTTCTGGGTAAGGTGCTTGAGCCATTATATATTCATGGGTCAATGGGCAGTTCTTATCAAAGAAAGATGGTTTTTCCTTTTCAATGACGGCTTCTTTCTCCTTTTCTTTCACAATTACTTCAGCCTCTGGTTCAACTGCTCCTTTCTGCTTCTCCGCTTGTTCCTTGTCTTCCACACGATCAAGAATTGGATTTGCAAGCGGTGCTACAACTTTGCCACTTCTAGTGGTAATAGCCATGCAATCTTCCTTTGGATTGATAACTGTATTACTAGGAAAAGTACCCGGAATTCTTTCTGAAACCTGCTTTGCAAGTTGGCCTATCTGATTCTCCAGGTTCTTTATGGAAGCACTTGTATTTTTGTTGTTGGCTCTTTGCTCTTCCATGAAAGCATTTGAATGTTGAGCCATCTGTGCCACTAGCTTTTCCAATTCAGAGGGTTCCTTTGCTTGAATTTGTGGAGGCTGCTGGTAGTTATTAGATTTGTAATCCATGCCAGCTCCTTGAGTTCTTCGCTGAAAATTTCCACCACCACCTCCAGCACCATAGTTATTGTTCCTTGGAAAGTTTGACGGCTGAGGCCGCTGGTCATACCATATTCCATTCACATGTACTTGTTGAGGTGAATCATCTGATAACGAATTAGAGCATTCGTTGGATTTGTGAGCTTCCTGAGGAGTTGATTGAACATGGGACATTTGGAATTTTTGAAATTGCTGCTCCAAACTGTCAAACTTACTATCAATCTTTTTGGATAACAGTTCAGCGAGCAAAGTGTCATTGTTTTCTTGTTTTATCACTCCTCTTTTTACTGAGGCTGGAACACTCTCATTTTCATCTCTTGCCAACTTCTTTATCAGATTGAGAGCTTGCTCCGAGGTACTTTGCCGAATAGAACCTCCAGCTGCACCATTAATTACCAACCTTGTTTCAGGAGAAATGCCATTAAAGAAAATTGCTACCTTTCTGTCATTGTCTCCTTCCCATTGTGGACACTTCCGGATAAGTTCTTGGAATCTATTCCAAGTTGCACACAATGATTCTCCTTCAAATTGACGGAAATTCGTGATTGCATTCACCAGCTGATTATATTTCTCCATAGAAAAGAAATGGGCAAAGAATTTGTTTGACAAATCTTCCCATGTTGAGATACTATTTGCTGGTTGCCTTTCCATCCATTTGAGAGCACTTCCCTTAACAGCAAAAGGAAATAGTCGGAGCCTGATAGCATCAGCTGGCACACCATTGTGCTTTGTAGTGTCACAGATCATCAGAAATCGATCTATGAACTCATGAGGGTGTTCCTCGTTAGCACCAGAATATTGAGCTCTTGCCACCAAAGAAATCAATGATGGTTTCAACTCAAAATTGTTTGCTTCCACCGTCGGCCTGACTATGCTTGAGTTTGGCCTATTGAACACTGGTGTCAGAATACTTTCCAACAATCTTGGGGGTGGATTGTGGCCTATGCCACCATCATCGTTATTGTTTCCTTCCATCTCTTGTTTTGGTTGTGCAGGTACGCTTTTCAAATCTTCCCAAATTATCTGCCTAGCCGCCTTCCTCAGTCTCCTCTCAGTCCTTGAAATTTCAGGATCAAGCAAAAAGTCTTTAGGTGGAAGTCTACCTCGCATAAAACTCAGAAAAATTTGTTAATAGCACCTGTAAAATGCAAACAAGAATAATAAAATAAAATAAAATAAAATTCAATCTCAAAGATCAAAGGTTATTTATAATATTGAAATTTTCAATCCCCGGCAACGGCGCCAAAAACTTGATGCTATCCGACAAGTATACCGTTTCGCATAAGTAGTAAAGTAGTAAGAAAGATCGTCTCCTCAGGGATTGAAAACCAAGTACTAAAATAATCAATCACTTTAAGTTGAAAAACTTGATCTTTTGTTGGGAAAATTAAATTGAATCTTAGTAACCATAAAAGTAAAGACTTATTTTTGAGTTTTTATATTTTTAAGAATGAAAAGAAGAATAATAATGGAGTTGGTTTTGAAAATATGAGAAAGAATTGCAGTTAGGGAACACTCTCCCTATGATCCCCACTTATTACTTTGGATTGATACAAAATACTTATTTATATAATTTCTCAGATAATTATGATCTCAATATATTAATAATTAAATCTCAATCCCTTGGTAACTTAACCATTTAACCTCACTTAGAATCCTAATCCCTTAGTAACCCCTCATGAGAATTAAGCAATGAACACAGTAATTCCAACATCTGCAATTAAATATACATCTATCCCTAGTATGCATACCAATAGTTATCTTATCTCTTTTCGAGATCAGAAACCCCAATACCCCTATTTAAGGTTCTAACCCTCAAACTATTTTCAACTATCAAATTGATCAGGTTTAATAAAGAAAATATCAAATACGCACAAGATGAGATAAAGAAATTTATATAAACGAGTAAAATAATTTAAATCAATCCGTCATAACAAGGGTTCACATAGGGTTGTGACCCTAACTACAATAAAAGAACTTAGCCAGACATAGTCATATCCGACATAAACAAATATTCAAAAGAAAGCATAAAAACTATAATTACTGAAAAGAATGGAGAAGAAATCTTGATCTTCAGTCACCCTCTGCTTGCTCCGAGTTGTGAATTGGTTCCTTTGTTGTGCTCCCAATCTCCTTATTTATAACCACTGGCATTGAGCCCATCCAAGAGTTTGTATTTGATTTAAACTTTGTTTCCTTTTTTTCATGTAACAACCTTGGAGATTTGATTGATAAATTAGAATTTCAAATCTTGATTCAATCTTACCACAAATCATCTAATCTTATCTCTAATTTAGATAGAGATCTCATTGCTGAATCAAAAACTTGATTTTTAAATCTTTTTCTTTTCCAAAATTGCCCCGTTGCAAAACACGGGGTCTGAGAATTCCCAAACTGACGCTCTCAGCGTCAAATTCACGCTTCAAGCGTGAACGCTTCTGTCTGAAAAATTCCTTCCACGCTGCCAGCGTGAGATCCACGCTTTGAGCGTGAATTTTGATTTTGCAAAATCCTCGTTTTGCTCCAGTTTGTTTGCTTTTTCCTACAAAATTAGCATAAAATCAGTATTCAATCCTTGATTAAGATTTTGACAAATTAACAGTGATTCTTGCTCTTTTTCTCAAGATTTCATCAACATTCTTTCTCTTTTTGGCTCAGATTTCCTTATATGCTAAGCGCATATCAATAACATAAAGTAATAATATCCAACTGAGGTAGATTCCTAAAAACCAAAAATATAATGTGTTCGATTCTTGTCAACATCGTCTTTGAAAGGAATTTAAAATCTTAATCCCAAAATCTATTCCGATTCGAACTAATTGCAAAATGATAAACCGATTGAAATATATATATATATATACTAATTGCAAAATGATAAACCGATTGAAATATATATATATATATATATATATATATATATATATATATATATATATGAGGTAGGATCATTTGACACCGGTGTCAAATTTAAATTTTGACACCTAATCTAAGATCCGTTAGATAAAAAAAGATCAACAGATGAGGTGTCAAACTTCAAATTTGACACCGGTGTCAAATGATCCTACCTCTATATATATATATATATATATATATAAATGGTCATATTCACAACGATTCAAAGCATCTGTATTTACTATCAAGACACCGAGCATTTACGGCCATCCGGTTGTCAGAATGAAAGCATGGAAAAACTCGGGAACACCATTCTTCATTATCTCTCCATTGAAAGTGACAACAGATAAAGAAATATCAGCCCTTTGAGGACCACTCGTACTTTGAAAGACAATGATAGATTGGTCCCTATCTTTTTGAGTTTCAATTTCTTGATATTTATTCAGTTTCCCATAGATGTACAGCATCCCCTATTCCTACAATTGCAATCACTGCTTGAACAAACTTGGTTACTATTGATGGCAATTCAAATGTGTACAACTGTTTGCAATCTCCTTTCTAGGAGTGATCCGCTTGATGAGTTCAAACCATTTGTTATATTTGTCGAATTAACAACACAATTTTACAGACTCTCAAGAAAATTCCTGCATTGCAAACACAAATACTATCTGGGTTGTTCAGCACTAGGAAGACAGAAGAAATTGAAACACAATGTCTAATTCATATTCATGTCTTGTTTTGCACTAGCAAGATTAATAGAGCACTATATTAAGAGACAGATGCGGGGAGGGAGAACTAAAGAACAGCATTTCCACTACTCTTTTTTGGATGCGTCTGAGTTCTCATCCTTCCAAGTTGCTTGCCATTGCTTGTCATAAAATGTAGTCTCATCCAATAGCTTCTTAAGATTTTCAAAGTCCTCATTCTTTCGGATCAGAAGTACTCCCCCCACTGCTATGAACAGAAGAGTTTTGCAAAAGAAGTTGCCCATTTGATCAACTAGACCTACTCCTGTCAGGCTATCAACAAAATATGCCATAAAGAACCCTATCATTGCAGCACGACCTACATGATACTCAAAACAAGAAAAGAGTCAGCAAGGGAGTTTTTTTGTTTTTCTTCCCTCTTATTGGCATTAAACCCTTTATTCTCTAATTTCGCTTTAGAATACAAAGTAGAACTGACCATTAAGTAGTTCAGCTTCAGGAAGATGGAACCTTTTCATCCATGCCCACCAGGGTACGATAGAGGTGTCAAAAACTACAGGGTTATCATTGCTGGATGATTCTGGGTTATCCTCAAGCCATTTTCTCCTTCTAGCCTCTGAAAATAATTACAAAAGTAGATCCCTAGATGAAGTCAAGTTCAAAGTATTTAGAAAAAAAATGTAACACAAGAAGCTGACAACATATGAATCTACTAATCCTTACACCAACTATTCATCTGTTACCCCTGTAACACACTGTTTCATTATTCAAAAGATATAAAATAAAATGACTGTTCTGTAATTCTGCACAGACTTTGAAGCCTTTTCACAAGCATGAAGCTCATTTTTCCTCTATCCGTGTTCCTCGTCCTCTCCAGTGTTTTGTATTTTTCCTTTCATTGTGCTCCATTTTCCTCAACTCTAAGCATCCTTTTCAGATTTTGATGAAACCTTAAAGCCCTGCACATTCCTTTTCTCTTACAAGTGGATCTTGGGGTGATTTTCTGAAGTTAGAAGGTGTTCTGAGGAAAATTCATTATCTAAAATTTTTAGGAATTTTATCTAACCATATTTTATTTATTTATTTTGATACATTCATCTAATCTTATTACCTATTGCTAGTTCATTCTTAAATAATTTTCTAAACCTTACCAAAATATTTGTGTGTTCAAAATTGCTGGATACTACCTTGCTTGCTTTCTCTGGATTTGCTAGAAGTGATTTAGTTGCCTCTTCAAAAGTGAGTGGATAATATTTTGGGGGGATCCATGTTTGAATCCCATAGCTACTAATAGGGGTAGTGTTCTGAGTGCACCTAATTATTATATGCATACGGATATTATATTCTGGGAGAAGAGAGCTATCAATTAGATGGAGCTTCCCCAAGTTAGAGATCACCCCTTGGAGGAGAGGACTATCAACGAGATGATGACACCCTTGATGGGTTGATACAATGTGAATTGATTTGAGAAATGAAAGGACTGTTCGATAGATGGAACCACCCTTAAAGGAAAGGCCACCTTAGGAGGAGATGAATATTAGCAAGGCCGAGCCACCTCATATGTGGCTCTCTCATGTATGAACCCTACAATATTAAACTTACGACTTTACTACATTTTGTAAATGATCTTTACATTACTTTATAAGTTTTTTGACTTATCATTCATATACATATTTTATTGGTTTTGTGTATATTATTTACTTTCATTGTCCTAGCATGTTGTTGTTGTTTTTTTTTTTTTGGTGTGGGGGGGGTGTAGCTAAGGCTGGATCATTCTCATGCTATGCTTTGGCATAAAATCAAACTCCATGGCATGCTTTTCTAAGCAAAACCATTCAGGTAAGCTGCAGCAGAAGTTGTGCAGCGTTGTCAACAGAAACAAATTGCAAGGAGGAGAGGGTTGAAGGGTGGAGGAAGACAAGGAATCCGCCATAGATGGAGCTGGATTATAGCTGAGAAGCTATAGTGCTCTTGATATCATATAAGTGTTTCTGCACGAAAAGAGTTTCATCCAAAATGCTTGCGCAGTTTTTTCATTAACTGGGCATTGATATATAAACAAGTGTGTTTATAAGGATTACAACAGCTGATATGCTTTTGCCTCCACTTTATAATACCCTTTCCCCTTCCCACACCAGGTCTTATATCTCCTTTTTAACCCTCTGAAAAAAGGAGTCATATAAGAAGAAATAACGATGGATAAGGCTAAGGCGCTAACCACACAGTGAAACAAATTTAGAATTTGAAAGAAAATTGAAAGCAGCTACTCCCTCTACAGGCACCAACTAAAGATTCACCTTCTTCAGTTTAAAAGAAATTTTTTTCCTCAACTTCCATTTGGAAACCTTGCAATTGAAATTTGTTTACTTTCAGTTGGAGATCCAGTTTTAACATCTCCCATTCTCACTCCAACCTCTAACCCTGCTTACACAACCATCAGAGTCACACAAAAAAAAACAAAAGCTCTATGGTAGGGGATCGATCAGTATATAAATGACCTAAAAGTGAAAGCAAACATTGTAAAACAGAAATGGGGTAGCAGAGAAAACGAACAGAATATAAAAATTGTAGCCTCCAAGGACTCGTAATTTCAACGAAAATTGATTTGAATAAAGAGAAAAAAAGCTTAACAAGGCATGGAGCACACTAAGAAAAGCCATAAAGTTACCAGCATCAATAACAGCATCCCAATTGGTCTTGCCATTGTTCTGAAACTGCTTCAAGTCCCATGTCCCTCCAACCCATCTTGGGTCCACAAAACCACTCACCACCTTCACTTCCTCAGCCACAGCAGCAACAGCAGAAGAAGCAGACCCATTGGTTCCCATGGAAGTGTTCTCCAGCTGCTGCTGCTGCGGCGGCGGAGAAGGCTCCGGGACGGCCTCCTCCAGCGGTGGTTCCACTGCAGTTGCAGCTGAACCAGAAGAGCCAACACCATTGTCAGCAGAAGAAGCCTTCAAGAGAAACAAAGGAAGGTTCTTTGGCCTGAGAGTGAAGAAGAATCTGTTGTGGATGAGATGGGGTTTGGAATATGATGAAGGAGTGGCTGAGAAATGAGTCCGAGGAGAAAACGAGGCCATGGTGGTTGGCATGCCTTGTGTTTGCATTGATTTGATTGGTTTGTGTTTCTCTCTCTGTCTCTGTGGGGTATCAGAACATGGTATGGTAAGTGTGTGGGTTTCTCAGTTTCTGTTTCTGGGGTTATCCTCTCACTCCTCAGCCTTTGAAATTAATTAAATGGGCACAAGTGAACTGTAGTGAAGTGAAGTGAAGGGGTTCTGAAAAGTGAAAAGGCTCTCAACTTGTTTGTCGTTTATTGGCTTTAGATCAATTCCATGTCCAATCATCTAACTCTTCCTTGCCCATGAATTAGACTAGGCTTGGCAAAAATCAACGTAACTCGATTAAAATGAGTACAGTTGGGTTAAAAAAATTAACTTACTAACTCGAGTCAGTCGACCTCTTTTAGTTCGGAAAAAATTAAGTCAACTCACGGGTTAAATAGGTTGTCTCACGGATTATAATTTTTTAATATAAAAGTATAAAAATTAATGAAGATAAAGTGGAAAGCTAAAGCCTAAAATCTCAATTCTAAATACTCGAACAAAAATACCCTACAGCTGCCAATAAGTCCAAAACCGTGCATTAAGAATCTTTTTTATAGTATGTGTGACAGTGTGAATGTGGTGCCAACTGCCAATAAGCCTAAATTTAAATGCAAATTTTTTTATGGTTTATCTGTATAATGTCTTTTGCATTGAATGAATTAATAATTTAGGAAAAAAAATTATAAGTTATAGCATCAATAAAATTTTATTTTTATTTTTCCATTTTTTCGAGTCAACCCTAACCCGACTTGGGTCGGGTTGGGTTGGGTTTTCTGGTTCGATTATTTTTCGAGCCAACCCTAACCCGACTCATTTTTTTTCGGGTTGAACGCAGGTTGGATCGGGTTGAGCCGGGTTGGCCTGTTTTGCCAACCCTAGATTAGACCATCTTGCAACCTAGTAACTTAAAAGTTAACCTATTCACGGTTTCATTTTAAATCATTAATGTTAAAAATATTAAAAAAAATATGCTCAAGATAAATTTAAGAGAAATCATTATCTCATTTTACATGAGATAATTATCTCATATTGTTCTCACATTAAAAATTGTGCCATTATTTTTTCTTTTTCTTTTTAATAGATGATAGGCCCCACAACATCATGTGTATATAGTAGGAGATAACTATCTCTAACAACATGAAAAAATAGGATCCCTAAATTTAAATACCAACAACGGTGTGTATTTTTAGATACCAAAGTTGTAATGAGTCCGATTAATTTAATTTTGAATTTGAATTTGAATTTTCTCATCTTTCTCAAAAATGGTAACTCTTGAGATTTTCAATATCGTTTGAGAGGTCAAATCCTGGACCGTCAAGTCGAGCAATAAAAAATGTGTCCCTTTTAATTAGAGGTCTTAAATTCGAATTGGAACAACGTAAAAAATAATCTTGAAACAACTGTTTCCTATAATGAATCCGATAATATTTGAATCGGATTAGTCAAATAATTGATGAACTGATTCATATATCTTAAATTTAAAAGTTAATCTTATCATTTTACTCCTACATAAACAATTAAAATTGACTTTCATATAATTGGAGTGACATTCATAGCATGTCTGTAGCATAATGCTAAATTTCTTTTTTATGTTGATAAATCACATGTATCTTTCATGGGAGATAATTATGTTCAGGGCAGGTCTATGATTAAGGTTTTAAACCGCTTCCAATACATGAGTTTATCCCTACATGTTTAATTCTCATATACCAACTAAGCTAGTATCATTTAATGATACAGCTAAGCTTCAACATGTGGTTAGTTACACAAACAATAACCCTAAACAAATACTAGAACTTAAGATAAGGTACAGAAGCTAGACTAATAGAAAAGGGAAGCGTGTTCATAAATTTATTTGTCTTGTCCTTATCGTTTTAATGGCACTTTAAAATGGGCTTTTTGACCCTTTTGCCCTTCATTAATTAATTAATAATCATTTTGCCCCTTATCCAAAACTATCTACCAAATTGCCCCTCTTTAATCGATTAACTTGAAGATTTAATCGATTAAATGGTCAAAACTGGCAAAAATGGTTGACTTGAAGATTTAATCGATTAAATATCCATTTTAATCAATTAAATCTCCCTCTTAATTGATTTAATCGATTAAAACTTATATTTAATCGATTAAATATACCAAATGAGCGTGAAAGCATTGATTGATTGTGTTTTGTATTTAATAGGAGCTGATTGCGTTTTGTATTTTTTTTTGGTTTCCTAAGGTATCCTCCAGCCGAAGACTAATCCTTTCGATGCGGGAGATCACATTAAGTGGGTAAACCTCTCCCAACTAAGCCTTTTTCATACGCACGGCCAGGAATCGAACCCCTGTCAACATGCTTAAGGAACCCAGCTATCTACCAACTGTGCTGGGCTTTGTTGGTTGCGTTTTGTATTTAATAGGAGTTGAATGTGTTTTGTATTTAATAGGAGCTGATTGCGTTTTATTAAGAGTTGCCATTTTACGAGCTGGTTACAGATTGTCACCAATTCAAATTTATTTGTAATTTGTAATTCCGAGCCTATTTATGGGCAACATTTTAATGAAATGAGTAAATATACCAAATGAGGGTGAAAGCATTGATTGACTGCGTTTTGTATTTAATAGGAGCTGATTGCGTTCAAAAAGAGTTGAATGTGTTTTGTATTTAATAGGAGCTGATTGTATTTTATTAGGAGTTGCCATTTTACGAGTTGGTTACAGATTGTCACCAATTCAAATTTATTTGTAATTTGTAATTTTGAGTCTATTTATGGGTAACATTTCAATGAAATGAGTAAGAGTGTACATACCAACATTTGAATTGGTGACAATCTGTAACCAACTCGTAAAATGGCAACTCATAATAAAACGCAACCAGCTCCTATTAAATACAAAATACACTCAACTCATATTAAATACAAAACGCAATCAACTCCTATTAAATACAAAACGCAATCAACTCTTATTAAATACAAATCGCAATCAACTCTTATTAACTTGCTGATTTGCTTCATATGCATGGAATCTGCTTTTGTTTATGGAGGAGATTTGACCTTTATTGCCTGTTGGGAGATTTAATCGATTAACTTGAAGATTTAATCGATTAAATCTTCAAGTCAACCATTTTTGTCAGTTTTGACCATTTAATCGATTAAATCTTCAAGTTAATCGATTAAAGAGGGGCAGATTGGTAGATAGTTTTGAATAAGGGGAAAAATAGTTATTAATTAATTAATGAAGGGTAAAAAGGTCAAAAAGTCCTTTAAAATGCAATATTGGTTTAGTTTTTAGTTTTTGAGTTGGGAAAATGTATGTTTCAGAAAGTTGGAATGATGCAGTCGTATTGACCATATCTAGTTGATGGCGCTTAAAAATGCGATATTGGTTCAATATATAGTTCTTAAATTCAGAAATTGTGTGTTTGTAGGGGGATAGTGACAACCCAAGCGCAAGGTTATTAGGTCCAGTTAATTAAATGACTATCAGACCAACTAACAGCAATTAAAAGGATACTGTTCATGCAATATATCATGTGTTTACAAATAGTTCCCTATTTCTAATTGTCATTTCAATTTTTGTTAATTATCATAACCCAAATAGCCTTTGTAATGGGGTATATAAAATCATAATTGAGGTTATTGCATGGTTTAATAATAATTAAATATTGTTAGATGGACTTTCTTGTTTTCCCAAACCAATGTAGCTTTGATCCTAGTCGTCATAGCACTATCTCCAACCTTTGAACGAGTTCTTAATCATGGGGTCTTATCACTAGTCTTCAAGTTCTATGGTTTTGGGGCTTTTGACCGTACTAGTTTTCTTTTTAAAAAGTTGACTGGATTAAGTTTTTAGCCAAACTTATTATCATAGTAATGCATTATGACGCATTACTGAAATCATTGCGTTAAGACATGGCATGATCCAGTGGCGAACCCAGAAAAATTAATTCATGTTCGCATATTTAGTGGCGGGGGTTCGGGGGCAGCAACCCCAAAAAAAAATTTTGATATAACTTTCACGTGGAGGAGTTGACTTATCAATCCAGGAACCTTTCCCACCAAAACCAACCTACCTTGATTTGTCATAAGTAGCCCATTGATTTTGAAGACAAATACTTAGCAACCTCTGACTAAGAATGTTGAAAAAGAAGGAAAAACATATAGGGTGAATTGATAACTCATATTTTGTTACACTTATTTATTACTCTTGGTTGGTATTTTTATGATTTATTTGAATTAAATAAAGGTCTTTTGGGTCAATTCACTATTCTAGATTTTAGTTCGGTTTAGTTGATTTTCGTCATAATTTTCCAGATTTACACTACTTTCGTATTTTAACCATATCTCACTCTACAGATGTCCGATTGACTCTGTTCTTGTTTCTTTTTGCAGCTAACAGATAGGGCTACAATTTCTACTTCAGCTACTGAAGCCCAATTCGGACGGTAAGATGGTCGAAACTTGATCTCAAGATGACGTGTTTTGCTGGAATGTTATTTTGACATTTGAACTTGTAATTTTCATTAGGACCCAATGTGTTTAGGGCCCAAGGCCATGTTTTATTATTTTATTTTATTTTATCCAGCTTTTATTTTATGTTTGGGCTGAAGCGATGAAACCCTAGCCGTCCTGCGTGACGGTTATTTAAAGGGGACTAGAAACCCTTGGTAGTCAGTTTTTACAACAGAGAAGTTCTCTCTGAGTTTTTATTCAATTGCGTTCTTCATCTTTTTTTTTTTTCTTCTTCTTTTTATTTCAATTATGTTTACCTTAGTCATACGAGGCTAAGAACCTTTTAATCAACCTAAGGGTAATGGATTCCATGGATTGGTCTTGAGGATCTGCGTTTATTTCAAATCAGTTTTGTTTCCCTTCCCAACTCAGATTGATATCGTGCGATCGTGGATATTCAATCTGAGGTTCGCGATTGCGATTATGGAAAGGGATTAATCATCAGATTTGATGATTAGGTTGATTGACCCTATGACCTTAAATCAAGCGAGCTGATACTCTGCGATTGTATGAGTAGAAGCATCGTCTTTGATCAAATGCTAAGCGATCGCTTAGAGAGGGTTGTCAATTGGAAATAAGGATTCTGATCCGATTGACAAATCAATCACGATTCTGATATTTTCTTATCCTAGGAAAGACGTCCATGGATCCCAAACCTTA